GCAGGCCTTTGAATATAAACCAACTGCCTCCTAGGTAAAAAGTCCTTTCAGTTTCAACAACATTGTCCTGATTAAAAAGACCTGCTATATGAACCAATACTGTCTAGGGTAAAAAGTCCTGCCATATGATCCAACAGTGTCCTGGGTAAAAAGTCTTGCTATATGAACCAACAGTGTCCTGGGTACAAAGGCCTGCTATATGAACCAACAGAGTCAGGAGTAAAAGACCTGCTATATGAACCAACAGAGTCAGGAGTAAAAGACTTGCCATATGAACCAACAGTGTCAGGAGTATAAGACTTGCCATATGAACCCACAGTGTCAAGAGTAAAAGCCCTGCTATATGACCCAACAGCGTCGAGAGTAAAAGACCTGCTATATGAACCAACAGCGTCAGGAGTAAAAGGCCTGCCATATGAACCAACAGTGCCAAGATGAAAAGACCTGCCATATGAACCAACAGTATCAAGAGTAAAAGACTTGCCATATGAACCAACTGTGTCAAGAGTAAAAGACTTACTATATGAACGAACAGTGTCAGGAGTATAAGCCTTGCCATATGAACCAACATTGTCAAGAGTAAAAGACCTGATATATGAACAAACAGTGTCAGGAGCAAAAGACTTACTATATGAACCAACAGAGTCAAGAGTAAAAGACCTGCCATATGAACCAACAGTATCAAGAGTAAAAGACTTGCCATATGAACCCACAGTGTCAGGAGTATAAGTCTTGCCATATGAACCAACAGAGTCAGGAGTAAAAGACTTGCTATATGAACCAACAGAGTCATGAGTATAAGACTTGCCATATGAACCAACAGTGTCAAGAGTAAAAGACCTGCTATATGAACAAACAGTGTCAGGAGTAAAAGACTTACTATATGAACCAACAGTGTCAGGAGTATAAGACTTGCCATATGAACCAACAGTGTCAAGAGTAAAAGACTTGCTATATGAACCAACAGTGTTAGGAGTAAAAGACTTGCTATATGAACCAACAGTGTCAGGAGTAAAAGACCTGCTATATGAACCAACAGTGTCAGGAGTAAAAGACTTGCTATATGAACCAACAGTGTCATGAGTAAAAAAAAAAGGCCATATGAACCAACAGTGTCAGGAGAAAAAGCCCTGCCGTATGAACCAACAGTGTCAGGAGTAAAAGCCCTGCCATATGAACCACCAGTGTCAGGAGTAAAAGCCCTGCAATATGAACCAACAGTGTCAGGAGTAAAAGCCCTGCCATATGAACCACCAGTGTCAGGAGTAAAAGCCCTGCAATATGAACCAACAGTGTCAGGAGTAAAATACCTGCTATATGAACCAACAGTGTCATGAGTAAAAAAAAAAGGACATATGAACCAACAGTGTCAGGAGTAAAAGCCCTGCCGTATGAACCAACAGTGTCAGGAGTAAAATACCTGCTATATGAACCAACAGTGTCATGAGTAAAAAAAAAGGCCATATGACCCAACAGTGTCAGGAGTAAAAGCCCTGCCGTATGAACCAACAGTGTCAGGAGTAAAATACCTGCTATATGAACCAACAGTGTCATGAGCAAAAAAAAAAGGCCATATGAACCAACAGTGTAGGGGGTAAAAGACCTGCCATATGAACCAACATTATCAAGAGTTAAAGACCTGCCATATGAACCAACAGTGTCAGGATTAAAAGACCTGCCATATGAACCAACAGTGTCAAGAGTAAAAGACCTGCTATATGAACCAACAGTTTCATGAGTAAAAAAAAAAGGCCATATGACCAAACAGTGTCAGGAGTAAAAGCCCTGCCATATGAACCAACAGTGTCAGGAGAAAAAGACTTGTTTTATGAACGAACAGTGTCAGGAGTAAAAGACCTGCCATATGAACCAACAGTGTCAGGAGAAAAAGACCTGCCGTATGAACCAACAGTGTCAGGAGTAAAATACCTGCTATATGAACCAACAGTGTCATGAGTTAAAGACTTGCCATATGAAGCAATAGTGTCAGGAGGAAAAGACTTGCCACATGAACCAACAGTGTCAGGAGCTAAAGACTTGCTATATGAACCAACAGTGTGAGGATTAAAAGACCTGCCATATGAACCAACAGTGTCAGGAGTAAAAGATTTGCTATATGAACCAACAGTGTCAGGAGTTAAAGACTTGCCATATGAACCAACAGTGTCAGGAGTTAAAGACTTGCCATATGAAGCAATAGTGTCAGGAGTAAAAGACTTGCCACATGAACCAACAGTGTCAGGAGTTAAAGACTTGCTATATGAACCAACAGTGTCAGGAGTTAAAGACTTGCTATATGAACCAACAGTGTCAGGAGTAAATGCTATATGAACCAAAATTGTCCTGGGAAAACAGAACCTGCTATATACTATGAAACATTCCCCTACAAAATGCAGTCACTACAGAATGATGTCATCAATGCAATAATATTATTAGAGAATGGAATCCTGACTCTTTAACTCTATGAAGGAAGAGCCTCAATCAATTCTTTCAATCTGAAGTAGCAGCTGCATTAAAATTTAATTGTTTGAGAAAATTCTTAAAAAAAGCTACATACACAGAAAGACACATCTGTTCGCTAGGCATATTGCACCATATTCGTCCTCTACAGAATACAATTAAAGCAAATCAAGTTCTCCGAGAAAATTTTAATCAATAAATTTCAGAAATATGAGAAGATACATTGGATGTTATGTCAAGAAGGAATCAGTTACGCTTAGTTAACAACTGCAGGGAATGGTTCATACAAGGAAGAGTTCATATATGAATGAATTGGTTAAAAAAAGGAATGGTTCATACATCAATGAACCAGGAAACAGTTCATGTACAGAACAAATAATATAAAAACGATTCATGCATAGAAAAATAAATATTGATAAAAAATGGGTCACAAAAGAAACAGTTCATACATCAATAAAGCAGGAACAGTTAATACAGGCAACTGTTCATACATCAATGAACCTATGAACAATTAATACAGAGAACTCTTCATACAAGGGACAGTTTTTACATCAATGAACCAGAAAACAGTTTATATGGGTATAAATCAATGAGCTTTCTTCACAGTTATAATGCATGAACAATTCATACAGGGAAGGGTTCACACATCAATGAACCAGGGAACAGCGAATGGATGGAACAATTCATACAGAGAACGGTTCACACATCAATGAACCAGAGAACAGTTCATGCAGGAAACATTTCATACAGGGAATGGTTCCTACGAAGAACAATTGATGCATCAGATATTATTGATCATGTATCACAATGAAGACCTGCAGGGAGTAGTTTCTGATACATCAAACATTACAGGTCATTTATCATTTTGGCATTTCTGCAACTACCCTAAGGAGTTCGGTGAAATAAATCACACAATCTGTCTGTTGGACACAACATGCATCCTTCACAAGCATGCTTCAAAGTCAATAGACTTCCTGGCCAGGGGATCAGAAACTTAAACATTATCAAAGGAAAGAATTTTTAAATATTTAAACTAAATGTACATGCAGAAATGGATAAAGCCATACATGACAATCATCAGTAAATATATTTTATAAAGAGGGGTGGGCTTATCAGTGGGCATGGACTTAGAAACAAAATGATAGTCTCTTTTTCCAGCAATTTTTTGTGAACATGTTCTCAGTGTAAGTTCTTCTCTATGGAACTGTCAGATGAACAAATCAGACATTCAACTTAGAGTCCTTAATACGATGCTATAAATCAGAACCTGTGTAATTAAGAAACCTGTATAAACAAGGCCAGCCAGTTGGTCTATCTGTGAACACTTTATAAACTGAACCTGTGTAATCTAGAAACCTGTATAAGACCTTACACTAGGTCACACTGTATGTACTTTTGTTAGTTTAACCTGTGTAATTAAGACACTTGTCCTTTCTGAACAGAACCATTAGTTCCAGTGCTATTTGACTTGTACATGTCTTTAATGTCAGTCATTAAGGTATTATGAAAAAGAAACTTCGTTTTTTTTGGTGTTTTTTTTTTTCATAATAAAAAAAACTAGCTGGTAACAAAGATTCCGATATTTGTAGGATTATTTTATCATCTGAAGTGCTGGATTGCAGATTAGCCCCTGTCAAGGTCAAGCATTGAACATAGATAAATACACTACAAGGCCAGATTTTCCATCGCTGGACAGGTTGCTCACTGTGACAGACACAGCTTAAGGAAACTCTCAACGACCATGACGCTGGGAGTCATGACCTCAGATATAAAACCAAACGAGGAAACAGACTCGAACAAACAAACTGTATCAATTACTGGTAGGTGAGCACAAATACACTACTGGGTGTATTATCTATATGCTAAATACAGATTCCTTAATTTATATTACAACCTGTTTCTTTAGGAATTTTGCAGAGTCGTGACTCAGATATAAAATAACTAGAGGAGACTCCGACAAACAAACAAACAATTGTATATACTACTGCGTGTATTATCTATATACTAAAGACAGATTTTTAATTTACATTACAACTTGCTTTCTTTATGAATTTTTAAACAAGAACATTTTTGCTTTCATGACGATTGATAAACTGTTTCACCTTGGATAACCAATCAGAATTGAAGAAAGTGACTAGTGTTTTCCGATAAGAATCACTACATCATTTTCCTGTTAGAGTAATGCATCCACTTACAGTAGGATAGTTCATAAAGAAGTCTGCAGACCTGCACGTTTATCTTGTTTAGTGTCCTATTACCAGCCAAGGTCAAACAAGGACATACAGATCAAAAGAGAACACGAAAACTTGTAACTTAATTAACTCATTCACACCTTAAGACACATTTTAACTCTTCCAATTCAATGGTTGGAATAGTCAAATCTGCTCAAGTGACCACCCTTATTAAGCGACCATTTTGATATAGTTCATTATGAAACTTAAGGAGTGAATGTGTTATTTCATCATTCAAGGAGCATGTTCATCATCAAATCAGATCGAAAACTAGAAATATTTTTGTAAAACATACATATTCGCCTGCTCCCACTTCGATGAAAGAATGCAAAATTAAACCATCCAGTCGTAATCAGAGAATTGGAGTAAAGCCCAGGCCATAGTGACCTTCATCTTTAATATTGGTAGAGAAACTCCTTAAGACGTAGTATTACATTAAGTCTAATGACTGCTGGACTTCTTGCATAAGAGTAATGGATTTAAACACAAAACCAAGCCAAGACAATTGACGTATACACAAGGAAGGAAAAGGCAAATAATGAACGCCCCACTCCACGTCATTACAAGTCAATAATTTCTTCAAAGAAACTACTTGTACAAATTGACCAATCTTTTGTATCAGCAAAACTGAACTTGTGAGTACAACTATTTTATGCATGCAATAGTAAATCTGCTAATTTGTTTTTTTATTTCAAAAATTTTACGTTTTTTTTTCCACTATCTCAATTGCTCTTCTGCAATTACAGGTTTGTCATCGTGTAAAATACCTTTTTGCTTACAGATGATTTTTATGTTGTAACATTCTTATTAAATAGTCAATATTAAATTATTCACATTTCAAAACCAAGATCATTCCAATAGCATGTTATACTGTACATTTCAACACCAATACCTTTAAGGACCTGTACATTAATTTTTTCTAATCAGGACAAAACCTTGTGAAAATAACACTCACCTGTATATTAAGTTCTAGATTTTTCCATTGACAAAATCTTGTGTACTTTTCACTGAAAAAATGAAATGAATACGTATTCAACAGCATTATAACCTTACATGTAGGTTATTAGATTCCTCTATGCTTTACTTAATACCTACAACACTGTGTATGCCAAGCTTTAGTTTCCTATTTTCAAAGAAATATGTGGGTGGAAAAAATGTATCAAAATGGGTTGATTTCAATGTCAAAAGCTGCCACAGATATCATATAAATAAAACTGACATAAAAAAACTGCAGGCATAAAGACATTTTAAAACATCTACTGTACCTGGCCCTGTATTAATGAAACCGTTCTCATGCTCAAGCGTGAGTTCCATGCTCAAACAACTTCCTTGCGCCTAAGCTTAAATCATGTGACATTGTCAAAAGAACAAATGTAATAGGTTTTGAGTCTCGCCAATATTCTTGAAAATCATTGGCTAAATCAATTTTTATTTATATATCACCGGAACAAGGAATTCAGCTTGGGAGCACAGAAGTTGAGTTTGAGCGCGAGTACATTTTCATGAATACGAGCCCTGGTACCTTTCAGGTATAGGTGATGCCAATGTTGAAAAACAGGTTTTTTCTATGGCATTCCTCAATAATCAGTGTTGCTAGGTACATAAAACAGTTTTTGAAACTTAATCTCAAACAATAGAGAACTCTGATCTTGTGCTTAGATATAATACCATTGTTTAATTACTGTAAGCACATACCTAACAAAATTGATGGAGACACAAAATACACGAATGAAAAGATAACAAAAAACTTTTTTCTCTCTTGTTTTCGCGAGATTAAACAATTCGACTACAAATTAAGTTTGACCGTAAGGAACGGGAAATCAAAAACCAGTGAAGGGAAATCGGTACAGATAACATATATTTTCAGAAGTAAAAACCTCTTAAAAATTATAATCACGGAATGCAAACAGACGTTTTGTGTATCATCCAACAACTTTTATGCCTACAAAAACAAAACAGAGAATCACTTACAATCTGACAGCTTTGTAAAAACTATCTAATATAGTTAGTGTAGATCTAGAACATTACATAATTCTGTCAAATTAACACCAAGGTGAACGAATCACTCACTGCAGATTATCTTAACGAGAAAGAGCCTCCCGCAGGTGCAGCTTATACCCACAAAAATCCCCAAAGAAACATTTATTATTGATACATCAACGATTGTCATGAGGAGGAGGCTGTGCTTTAAAAAGTTAGAAAGGGGTAGAAGACGCGGAGGGCCTATTCATTTGAGGTGGGGTTCATCAAAGGTCAAGGTCAGTGTTACCGATTCAAAATTCAAGATCAGGAAAATATTTTGGGACGAGCAGAATCTGTTTACTTTTACAGCTAAACGTATGATGGGATCAGAATTTTTACTTCAAGGAATGCATTAGTTTGTTTTAACAGAGCTTAAGGTAACAAAATTTGAGTGTAGTTGTGATGTCTGAACAGGTGCCAACATTTCATTGGATGATAGGTTCTAAATTATTTAGGTTCCAGTAACACTGTCCTTGACCTTTGATGAACCACATCACAAACAAATAGGCCCACCGGGTCTTCTACCACTTTAGGACAACTCAAATACTAAGCTTTAAGCAATCATTTCTCCTGAAATTGAGATCCTTGAAGGACATCGTTATTTGAGTAACAGTGACCTTGACCTATGACAAACCATGCACTGGAAATTGATAGGATTTTTTCCTTTTTCTTTAGAGTAACTAGAAGTTACCAAAGTAACTTCCGGAGGACGTTGTATCTGCTCCAAATATCAACACTTTCATGAACAGAATAGATAAACTTTGGCAGAATGAAGAGCTTTATTATAACTATAGGGCAAATGTAATAAACAATGAACTTTAAAGTTATATTATACAATTATTTGATTTTTGAGTCCAGTGTAGAGGAACTCTATCGGCTCCTATATTTGAAACTAACTTTAACTTAATTAAAATGAATAATGCAACAAGTCTGAACTTTGTGCAGTCATCAATTATGTGAAGTTTCATCTCTATCAGCAGCGACTTCAACTTTTACTGGACAGTGTCCAAAACCGTTAAGGCTGCTCCTCTTTGCCCTCCTACACAGTTTACCAAGTGTGAGTATATAAGCATGAGAAATCCAAGGTGACCTATAATAGTGGCTTACAATAACATAGGACACCAGATCAAATATGCAGGGAAATTCCTTTGGACACTTGACTTTTGCAAACAGCATGCTGTGCATCTCCCGGATACTTCACATTTTGATTGACTCAAGGTGACTATTGCGTTTTATCTCAGTAAACATAACAATCTTACCCCTTTCACCACTGTAGACCATAATGGACTCATCCATATCAATGCATGGTAGAGTCTACTCAAGTAACATAGGGATGAAAGGGTTAAGTTTATGTGAAGTTTTTTTCTTTGGTAGTTATAACAACTTTGACACAACAGGGTTCTATTGTCTGGTCAGAATGATTTTTCCATCGCAACAACAGCTAAGATCGTACGATGACGATGTCTGTCTGGGGGTGCCTAGGGCAACTGTGAGTGAGGGAGGAAAGAGCTCTCATGTATATAGATGGAGCTCAAATGCTTGATATAATTACTCACCTTTCTAAAAACTTCTCAAATATATGATATCTTAAGGAATTACATATTTCTTCTATGTAGGGCTGAAAGTTAAAGAAAAATCAATATTATATGAAATATTTAATAAACACAATCAATTTATTCAATTGATAGTCTAATACAATTATGAAACGAAAATGTAATGAAAATTTTGCCTGAGATATACTTTTTACAGATCTCTTTTAAAACAGCTACGCTATTTGCTGTGGTCTGAATTTCATGACAATTGGGAAAAGACGTCATCTCGTTTATTTAAAGCATTTTAAAAGTCATAAATGTGTCAGTTTGAAGATTTTTTATTTAAAAAGACATACGTCAGTAGACAGTAAATTGTTAAGTGCAATATTATTGATTTTTTTCTGCGGCAAGTTACGCCAATTGAACCAGTTTATGTTCATTTGTCCCTAAAACATTCCCGAAAAAAGAATTACCAGAAGGCTATATGATTGTGTTATCTCTCCTAGTTTAACACCTCAACAAAGAAAACCTTTCAAAACATTTTAATATATTGTTCAGTCAACCATGACACCAAAGAAATCATACCAGTTGATCAAGCATAAACAAACATTTTATTTACCCTATATTTTCTAAATAACACCCCGGGGGGAGCAGGAACTATTATCAAAAGGGGAGATAACTCAGATGACTTGGAGCTGGTTACAAATACATATACATGAATTCTTTTCATCCTTAACCCTCTCACCACTGTTGATCACAATGGACTGATCCTGATCAATGCGTGGTAGAGTCCACTTAAGTTTCATAGGGATGAAAGGGTTAACAATGCTCTTGGGTGTTTACAACAGTGATACAACTCAAATAACCTACATAAATAAACACTTCCTTTCATAAACAGTTTGTATTAATACAATTCATAACTTTTGACACATTCAGTAAATTGCGCTTTTAAGGAATGATTGTGCGACACCCAAAGTACCTAACGGCAATATTTGGATGTGTTATTTATAGCAATAACCATAGCAGTAAACACAATCATTAGAAGTCTCGTGAAATAGAATATTTCTGTGTCTTAACTACTAACACTTATATTTTTCTCTATTAATGAACCCTTGTTTAAAGATCCCTGTCCCATGGTAGTGGTGTTCCCTATAAACAGTTACCTCCCCTTAATTTCCTACTGGATATTACTGTAGCTGCACAGCTATGCGAGGACACTTTGGTTGACCAGGTCACTCAGTTGGTTAGAGTGGAAGTATAACAACCTAAAGTGTAGGGTTAAAATTCTTGTCTAGTCCCACATTTGGTTTGGTTTGTTTGTGTTTTACGTCCTATTTACAGCTATAGTCATTCAGAATGTGCCAAATTTTGGTGGTGGATGAAAGCCAGAGTTCCCGGATAAAAAGCACCAACCTACGGCCAGTACCTAGTGACTGCCCCACGTAGGTCTAGAACCACGACCAAGTGGTGGAGGGCTAGTGGAAGCAGAATGTCAGATGCCTTAACCACTTGGCCACCGCAGCCCCTTTAGTCCCACATAACTTTTACACCAGAACAATGTTTGTGATTATATTTTGTTTATATTGTCTTTATTGTTTTTCATAAAAAAGTCCCGCAGGGTATAGCTCTCTTTTCAGTGATAATCTATCCAAGCTTCAGTCATGCTAGAAACAACAATTACAATGCATAGTGACAGGTTTTGGCCGTGGTACGGGGATCCCTAAACAATTTAACACATCCAGTCAGATTCCAGCTTCAAGAACATATTTTTTCTACAGAAAAGCATTACTGGAGTTTAAGAGAAAGTCTTAGTAAATCTTTCCTGTGCAAAAACTGAAGCTAAGAAATTTTCAGTTGAAGAATATTTGTGAAACTCTGGCAAGAATGTTTGTATTGTTTGTTTCAGTCCAATGACAAAATGCATATGGCAAACCATTGTAGCTAGAGAACAGAATTATTTTAGGGGTAAAGACCCTGCGCTAACCTGTAAACTGGACTTTAACCATTGCAGCTAGAGAACAGAATTATTTTAGGGGTAAAGACCCTGTGCTAACCTGTATACTGGACTTTAACCATTGCAGCTAGAGAACAGAATTATTTTAGGGGTAAAGACCCTGTGCTAACCTGTATACTGGACTTGGTATTTCACCTGTAATTACATATTCCAAGGTTGAAAACATGGTTATCTTTTCCTTAATACCTGATTTTATTAGCTTTTGACTTCTACTAGAAAATCACACATAAATGTGTCGAAAAGGGCATTTATTACAATAAATATGGTACATAATCTGTTTTTGAACTCAGATCTGCATCATTATCGTCAGAATATCTAAATATACCTATGATCACCTATAAAAGTCGATCCTGTCGTCAAAATAATTAATTTCCCACGGATGTATTCTTGTGAAAAGCAGACACTTCTATACATATCACACCTTTATAAATTAACACCCTGAATAGTTATATTTGAAATATTGCGTGTAATTTAATCACGACATCCAAGATCACTGAAAATTCAGAATTATGGTTTATGAAACATTTTGAATAATCTGTAAAATACAGGTATATCTGATGGTTCACTCAGTACCATTGGTCAGCAACGCGGTCAGTGTGAAGTCAGCCTTTGCTTTAAGCTAGACGACGGGATTATTAATTTTTTAATGTTAGTTATATTAAATCCTATTATATTTTCATTTGGTTCTAATGTAATGTAAGGGTTAATATATGATTTTCTTGTGTCCTGATATCAGGGAACAGATTGCTCAGAAAGTCTGGCAACCTTATTGTCAACAATGTTGGAACTACTTCTCTGCCGTATATAAACTAAAATATGACCCAAAACCAAGATTGGCTGACTGTAATAGCTGCAAGTTTAAATCAATGCTGAAAAAACCCCATCTTAAAACATTGCAAAGTTGATTTACTTTGGATTGCCTCAGATTATTGTATTATGTATTTTTTTCTTTAATACAATCACTTAATTTGAAATATGCCACATTTAATAGAACTAATTATTTTAATTGTAGGGTAGGGTGTTTTAGAATTGTTTGATGTGTCTTAAAGGAAAATATTTAAAAAACAACAATAAATAAACAGTTTTTAAATACAGTCAAAACTTGTTGGATCTGGAACTGAACAAATAAAACAACCTGTATAAACGACGTCGTATTGAATTTTAAGATGTCGTAAAAAAATGTATAAAAGTGATATACAATTTAACTCTTGACCCAATAAAATATTGACTGCACACACTACGACTGAGCCGTACAACACACACCTCAAAAATATTTGATGATAGACTTTTAGTTCTTTGTGCAGCTGTTAATGCCTCTTGTACATGGTCCACAGCTGCTTTCGAATAGGTCTGAAATAAAGATACAGATATTGACTTAGAATGATGTCAATTTTTATTTTTATTAACCCTGATTTATTATTAACAGGTATGAAATAACAATATCTTGATTTCCTGTTAATGACAGAACCAAAAGGTAAGATGGGTCTCAAATTTATTATATGTACTAAGATACAACAATGTGCTACGGCACGTATCCTGTAATAAGCCCAGGGGGGGCCAACACATACGTTCCGACACAAATGGGCAGGCTTATTTATAGGTCTGGGCTTATTGCTAGGTAATTATTATATATACACAGTAAAAATATTTTTGACTGTTAAAGAAGGCATTGTAAACGCTTTAAAATTTAGTCTTTACGCACGCTTCTCTTGTCTTCTACAATACCAGATTTGGTGGTAAGACAATGGCAAATTGTCACCCGGTGGTCATCTAATGTCATGTTACATATGCACAGCAGCCTCGGAGTCACAGAATCACAAAGGCTGAGTCTGTCTGGCTCCTTACAAAGACTTAGCTGGTATGTAGGTCAAACTCGAATCAATAGAGTGAAGGTCTTTCATGTCAAAGGACAAGCTATCACAATTTACAGATTTCAGTGTCGGGATTTCACTATTTGTCTAAATGCAATCATGAATGTTTCCTTTTTCTTCCAAATTGATCAAAACTTAAGCCCATGTGTTCAAAGTCTGATTAACCTATTGAGTTATAAATTAATATTTTCAAAACAATCTTTTTCTGAAATATCTCAAAATGTATCAATCTGAGTATTTTTTTAATTTTTGGATGGTAATAATGAATCCTTAAATAGAAAGTTGTATAGTTTTTAATTCAAATATATCTGAAAATATGCTGGATGAAATATTGTGCTAAATGTTTGTTAAGCTAACCAGGCCTTGAACAACTTGGAACAAAGAGACTTAACTCATTCACCCCTGAAATTTCATAATGAACTATTCCAACCTTTGAATTGGAGGAGTTCAAATGTGTCTTCATGGGTGAATGAGTTAATTTATCAACATCTTAGTAGTATAATTGGACACAAGAGTGCCACAATAGAAACAGGATATAGTATAGGTTACTTTTGAATTTGCGATTTGAGTGAGAGTTTAATCTGGTTAAAATATTACTTTAAATCTAAATTTATATTATATTTCAGATTTACCTTACCACTATAAATATACAGTGTTTCTTGCGTACCTTTTAAACGAGTAATCATCTTATTCAACCTGGTCCAATTTAACACAATTAAGAGGTTTCGTAATATTGAACTCTTTAAGGTAGGACACTAACGTCAGAGTTAGGTAGCATATAGCCTTACCTTACAATCACAGGATCTGGTCACAATTTATTCTTTTTATCTATGGATTGCAAAATATACACTTAGTAACTTACTTGCTATACAGTATGTTTACGCAGGAGGCATCACATAGGTATAAATGTAAATTGTGACAAGAACCTGTGTTTCTACAATACATTATACAACAAGAGGACAATTCAATACTCACATGTGATTGTGATAACAATTCCTTCATGATAAATTGGTCGTAAATATCTTTTCCTAACTTTATTCTTTCTTCATCAGATTCTAATTTCTCAAAGCGTTTGATCTGAAAAGACAGAAAGTGAGAACATTCTTGTTAAAAGAAATGAAATCTGTAAAAACAGAAAGTGAGAACATTCCTGTTAAAAGAAATGAAATCTGTAAAGACAGAAAGTGAGAACATTCTTGATAAAAAAAATAACATCATGAAAATTCTTACATGGTGAAATGCATATTATCTACTGTGTGTGACTCTTCATTTAATCTGGACAATATACCGTATTTGAACTAATAAGGGCGCAGGATGCGGGTAATTGAGAGATGGGGCTTCCTTATTAAGTAACATTTATCTGAACTTTTTTGCTACAGATTATATACTAACAGCTGTACATGTACAGCTGGGTAAGTGAATGAATAGAACTCCGTCTTTCCCGAACTCTGGGGATGCAGTCTAAGACGAAAAGACGGTCAGCTGCGCGCCTAACATCAATATTTATCTAATTCAGACAAAATGCAGTCCCATTACCTCTATCCCGGGAAGTTCACCACTGTATCTAAGCCTAGTGTCTAATGTTTGTTAACAAATCTTTGTATTTATCAGAACACTGCTGGCCAAATCAAACTTAAAAGTTATATAATTATTCAACAAAACTTCATATTTATCAGAACACTGGGCCAAAACAAACCTTAAAAGTTATAACATAGAAGAAGCAGGCTGTTGGAAAAACACATTTCCCATTGGACAGAAGTTAATCTAGCATTTTCAGAAACTCCTTTTAAGATATATAAAAAGATGTACCAGATCAGTCAGACAGCTGATACTATATACCAGAATTGTTTATCTCTATACGAAATCTACTGTCCAAATGGCCGATTTACGTTAGTTATAGATATGTTTCATTCGTCAATGTCTGGAGTTGAAGGATACCGTAGCACTATTCATCTGTTTGAACTGGTAGCTTTGTAACCCCTCAAAGACAGAGCCGTACGTCGCATCAGGCCACGTCTTCCGTGAAACGCAGCCAGAGTGATTGGAACATTTCAGATATCTGGTTAGCCCTCGAGGAATAGAAATCGTGACTAGCACGTTTCTGAAAGGATTTAAAATTAGATTTAATCATGATTTGAGAATAGGGCAATAGACTCGGGAGTGTGATTGTGTGCATCTTGTATTTGCATTCAAATTTGGTATATTTATGGAGGAATTTATTTTACTTGTTTTATGAGATTTGAAATAGCATTCCCTATTTGTATGTTTTATTGTGTCGGTATGCAATTTTTACTATGTCATTTATTATGAACATCATATAAATCTGTGGTCATACTGGGAAGGCCCTATATACAAGTCTTTAATGCAGCCTGTATGTACCATGACTTTTAAAAGATAATCATGATAAGGTTCTGGTACATTCTACATATTCAGAAAGAATACCTCAGGATTAAAAAGAAAATTTAAGAAAAATCATGACAACATTTATAAAGCATTTATATAGGAAAGCTTTTTGCAACATCTCCTGAAATAAAATCAAGCCTAATATAAATTGAGGTCAAGTCTCATTGAATAAGCCACCATGCATCCAGTTGTCCCAAGTAAACCTAACCAGTATTTCCTTTTTGTATTAAAATGTTTCAGTAATCTTGCCATCTCACACTCCTGCTAAAATGATAACCTAATGAAAGTGTCAGAGGATTAAAAGCTTTGCAAATTCATTAATTTTTCAAAACATTCTGACGACCAAATCTTTATAATGCATACACGAAAATATTAAGCCAATCAACAAATTAAATTCAACAAACCGAGAATTCTTCAGTCATGTTGGCAAAAGTTAATCTCAGTCGTAATTTAATTTGAAAACAATGCGAATAACTTGCAAGATCAAGGACAACAAACCTATCAGCATAATGTCACAGTGTGAAATACTTAAAACAGCAACAACCTAAACTTAGGGTAGTCAGCATTTCCTAGTGGTTTTGTTTACTGACATATAGTTGCTTTCCTGTTTATCATCACAAACAGCCATATACTGTATACTGGGGACTTTTCGTTGCAGTTTGAGTTTTGCCCTCCGTTATGAGGGTGAATGGCTTATCTAATATTGGGCAAAAATGGATTTTACATTGAAGGGCGAAGATTTCCCGAAATACAGCATTACAAAAGAAATGTATTCACCACAATGGACACCATTTTCACAAAAAACTTGTTCACTATGGTGATTCCAACTCCTGATCTTTTGAATAGAAAACAGGGAGCTTACCTTCTGCACCACAAAGTCATGTGACATCCTTATATTTTTCTGCAACAATATTGGGGATAATTTCTAAAAACCCTACTACCTGAAAAGACCAACAACAATGATAAATGTTGTTGTCGGGTGAATAACGTTTTTTGAACAGCTATCTTAAAAGTCCTTTCATACTATTATCATCAGATGAATTCAACAGATACTCAACCATTATATGGTTAAAACACACCTCTAGGAAGATTATTTTCAAAAACTAGCTAACAAATGTTTTGTGTGTGTTTGAATGGACTAGTAATACATGATGAGTCATCAAAATTCAATTGCTCATATTTTGGATGTCTGTGCCGAAGTGTTATTTATGTGGAAGAGTTTTACCAGTGTATGCGAACAAGAATTTCGAGACATTGAGTAATCCAGAGAGTTGAGAAGCAAATTGTGAGCAGATTTTAGGAGAGAAAATACAAAGGCCGGGGTAGGCATCCCAATCTATTTGGTTGTGTAATTGAGTCAATAATGCAACGACGAGACACACTTCTTATGTATGAAGTCTTGTCCATGTACTCAATAATAATGAATGTTAATTGTCTAGAAAAGTTTGTGACAGTCTTTGAGAGTCTTCAGCAGCGAGTCAACATCAGATGTAGAACTTACGATCGCTTCACAACTAATGACAGCAGTACAGAAAACATCAGACAGGTGAAGGGTTTGGGCATTCCACCTCTACCATTCAGACAGGTGAAGGGTTTGGGCATTCCACCTCTACTATTCAGACAGGTAAAGGGTTTGGTCATTCCACCTATACTATTCAGACCGGTAAAGGGTTTGGGCATTCCACCTTTACTATTCAGACAGGTGAAGGGAGGGTTTGGGCATTCCACTCTACTATTCAGACAGGGGAAGGGTTTGGGCTATCCACCTCTACCATTCAGACAGGTGAAGGGTTTGGGCATTCAACTCTACTATTCAGACAGGTGGAAGGGTTTGGGCATTCCATTCTACTATTCAGACAGGTGAAGGGTTTGGGCATTCCACCTTTACTATTCAGACAGGTAAAGGGTTTGGGCATTCCACCTCTACCATTCAGACAGGTGAAGGGTTTGGACATTCCACCTCTACTATTCAGACAGGTGAAGGGTTTGGGCATTCCACCTCTACTATTCAGTAGAGTTTTGGTCACATTGACATAAATAGTTCTTCCTCTATTTCACATCAGATACACTGCATGTGCTAACAATACAAACATGAAATTCTTCAAGGTTGTTTACATTCCAATTGTTGCCTGATAATATGGAAAGGTCCATCAATGATCCATTAGGCGACTCAGTTTTTAACAAGTGCAAGATTCTGAAATGTACAGTGCTATTTGTAAAAAGTCATGGAGGTGTATCAGTACTACAGATGGTAGCATGCACAAAGAGGTAGGCACTCTAGGGAAATAGCTTTGATAAGCCGACCTACCTGTTTGTTATATTTCGTACATGATTAGTGAAAATCATGTACAGCAATCATCATATTTCACTGAACTATAAAATTTGAGATGTTGAGTCACACAAAATTTAAAACAATACGCAAATATTTATACAGACTCCTGAAAACGTAACTATCTGCATCTTTACAGAAAATGAAGTCATTAAATGATCCCATCTCTACATAAAAATTATGTTCATTGACGACAATTTCCTATAAACATTAACAGTGAAGGAACTGTGCAACCTGAAATATGAATTATCAAAGGTCGTTTCATATTTGACCTTTTGACCTTTGATTACATTTAAATCAAAATCCTATTTGAAAATGAAAGAATATTTTCTATTACAGTGACAGTGACCTAGGATTTGACCTTAAAATCCTAAAAAAAATAAACTCATTCAACATCTTCTCTGATGCCTGAACTCTGTGATGATATAGTTTGATCAATTCCATTACCAAATAGGCGGTATAGGTGTGATGACACTGAATTGATGGACATGCCTTTCTCATATCCTGGATTTGAGAGCAGTCGTCCATTTCAGCAATTTTTAGCCAATATCAATGTAAAATTAAAAGAAATATGAACCTGGAGGGGTCAATTACAGCTTTGAAGGGTCGATGGCCCCATGGCCCCCTCCAGAATTATCCCTCAACGATGTACATCAAATGATATATAATATCATTTATATATTATCCAGATTATCAAATTAGTTTGAATTATCCCATCTCCATGATACATTGTATGTTACTTGTGTTGACTACATCAGGACAGCGGGCCCCTTATTCCGAGAATAATGGTTATTTCTGTAAAGTATTACAAGCATATATATAAATATTCCTCTTGGAAGCGGCTTCCCTATATTTACATAAAATGCAGGAATTGTCTAGGTATCTCAATAACAATCGCTGAATATGCAACACATCATTATTTGGTTTGTGCATGTCAAACGGCTAGTCTTATAGATAAAATACACGAGGATGTGTTTGTATACACGTCAATGACGTCAAAACTGCTGCAACTCATAACAGATGCTTACAGAGGAACAGTTGAAATCTCTGATAAGTGACTTTTGTGAATTTATATGATATGCATGATAAACAAATCTAAATACAATTGTGATAAAATTAAGGTTCTTTTCACGAGATATGCTAGAAGTAATTCCCCATCATGACCACAACACGATAGAAGTCTGTTTCTCCCGACACCACAACAGGTTTCCTCTCTCTCGACTTATCTGATTAACTTGCTAGGAGTTGGTAAACATTTTTGGTTACCCAGTAGTGGGTTACATCCTGGACATGGTTTGATTGGTCAACCTTTGCATTGTAAAACCACGTCACAATTAATGCTTTG